CCCCCCCCCCCCCCCGCCCTATCTTCTGCATGATCTTTAGAAGTAGCCTGGAAAAAAAAAAGCTCATAGTTTCCACAACTCTCTGCTGACATGCCCAGTGGCATTCCCAGAAGACCCATGTTTTTCCCAACAGCAGTGTCTGTTGGAAAGGATGATAAACACGCTATAAAAACACCATATTGAAAACCCAGAGAAAGAGATAAATGCTCTGTCTCATCACAGGTCTAACCCACCTCCCAAGGACCAGGCAGTGCAGTCACCGCATGGCCAGGCACTGGTGGCCCAGCTGCAATGAGCTCTTCTTGCATCTGTGCCCAGGCTTTTTTAGCAAGAGCATCTGTGTGCTGCCTACTTTTGATGGGCAGAGAGGAGGGAGGGGAGAGGTAGATTTCTCTTTCTGATGTGATGACTAACTTGTGAGCAACGTTCCCCAAGTTACCTTCACACACCAGTGCTAGTGCTAGATTAGAAAAATGATAATTAAGTGCAGATTACTTATTAACTAGTCATCACGACTGGGCTCTTCCATGCTTGGCTGCTCGTGCATGCCTCTGCCACTGTGATCTTGTGTACTGAAGTCAGATAAGCCTGCTTACTGCTTCTCCCTTCATAGTTCCTTTGAAAGGAGACGACCAACTTTAAGATGAAACAGCCAGATCAGAGCTTAATCCAACCGGTTCTTCTTGCCAGCAGATGCCAGAAAGCGAATCCATTTGTTACAAATAAAATCAGATTTAAACACAATAAAATACATTAGTGCTCCTTTGTCATCCCCTGAAACATCTATTTCTTTAAAAAAAAAAAAAAAGACACTCAATCTAATTTCTCCATAAGCTAAGGAGGATTTGACAGCAGCAAGGGGTTTAGAAGGAGAATCATCTTCTACCAAGAAGGGAGCTCATCCTTTATTGACGGGCTCAGGCTCACAAAGAATAGGAAACAGAGCCAATGCTCAGGATTGGCCTCCATTCAAACAAGGAAAATAAAACCTGCTCTGGGATGCTGCACTCCAGGCATCCCTTGGGGAGCGGGATGTATTTCCTGCAGCTTGCAGCCCTCCCCTTGAGTTAGCTGCTCCCTGAGTATCCAAGAGAGCCTTATCTTTCCCTTTGTCTCCCCACTGAGGTCTGGAATGGATTTTCGATGACCTACAAAGTGTCTGGGATCCCTGGAGACAAAGGTAATAGATAAAAGAAACGCTTACAGCTTTGCAAAGTGGTAAGGCACGAAGCCCTTGGAAGCATCCAGCAAGAGGAGCACAGATTTCATCCCATTGTTCACCAAGGCTAATGATTAAAGGAGCAAACTCTCCCTTGGGGGAATCACGGGACCAGACACCAGCCTTGGCTACCATGGTAGGTATTTGCCCTTCCTGGATGGCCCCAGAAAGAAGAGAGACAACTGCATATGATGGCCGGAAGAACCCCTCAACAGAAGCAGCATCAGTGGCATTACATGGTGCCTGCATTTCACTGAAAGCCACAGCTAAAACATTGCCACACAGGACACAAAGTGGTACCCAGGCACTGGGAGCTCGCTGGACAATATTTCCATGAGTAATGAAGGGCTCCGTAGTCTTCATAATGCCTTACACCTCATATTCGATCCTCAAATTTCTCCCTTCTTATTAAAGGGAGTTTGGGAAATGAAATACTTCATTCGGCTCCGGTCCTCTTTACCCAGGCTGCCTACTCATAATTTCATTTTGCATGCTGTACATTCCTGCCCTGCTGCCTGCACACATCATCGCCAAGCAAAGCTTTCGCTACTCCTTAATTCAAATGGCGTTTTAAACCACATGATTGGCTGTAACTCAGTTATCCTGCTTCTGCGGGAGAGACTGTCAAGAGGTGAGAGCTGCAAATCTCTTCCACGCATTTTGTCCTGTATTTTCTTTGGCCCACTTCCTATGAAATGCTAGAAATTATCATGAAGATGATTTCTCGTAAAAGACTTCCTAACGGCATCCTAGAAATACTTAAAGGCTGCAATTCCCCAAACACCTTTTAGGACAGAAGCAAGCCATGCATTTCAATTTGCAAATGTGATCCACAGTTGGACAGGACATAAAGAATTCCACCAAGGTGCCCTTCGTTTAGCTGCCATTCAAAGAGAGATGGGGCAGACATAACCCGACATTATTATAGAGGAATTTGAGGTTGTTTCATGAAGGCAAAGGTGTAGCATCATTCTTCACAGCAGCCATAAAACCCCTCTCTGGCACACTTTGATACACTTAGTGATTCAAAAGTACGTGACCTGAGAGGTGCCTTATCCACCCCATTCCGTATAGGAAGAACTTTTATGTTTCTTTCCCTCTTTCCAGTGTTCCATCAGTATTGCCTTCAACGTTGCACGCTTTTACACTGGGGTTGAGGAGACCAGCAGCTCTTGAGTAATTCCTTGAACTGCGCATCATCGAAGGTTGAAACGTAAATACCCAGCAGCAGAGACCAGTTGAGTGCTATGAAAACACTGGACCAAAATCACCTTCATCTTGAGGGGCTTCAGATTAGCCACCTTCCATAGCAAGACCATTTGCTGCCCTTAAACAAAATGTAACTATGGTATTTCACCCACTGCGTTCCTCATTTATGGCCATGATCCCAATAAACCAGGAGCCCGCCAATGCGTACAACCACAGGGCTGAACTTCCATCTAGCTGTGAGAAGCAGCCCGCAGAAGACCTTAAAGATGGACTTCATTTTCTACAGACTGAATTAAGAAACTTCCACCTCTCGTTCACCCTAATAACTCTGCACAGCAGGGAATTAAGACACCCTCATCAGACCTCAGACTCACCGTCATCAGCTCCTTCTGGAAAGATTTCCTCTCCTTGTTCTCAGTGTTGTTGCAGTCTTCCTTCAACTTCTCCAGGACAGAGGCCACTCGCTCCGGCTCACTGTCCAACTCCGCTCGGCAGAAGAACGTGAGTGGCAAGTTCAAATAGCCCAGCGCATCAGCAAAGGACCGCCAGCTGCTGAGGTTCTCCATGAGCAGAGTCCTCACGGAGGCATAGATGTAGGTCAGGAACTTGCAGGGCCTCAGGATCTGCTCAAGCAACAGGCTGGTAGTGAGATCTGGCCCAGAGAAGTAGCTGGGCTTGACCTTCCCAACCACCAGCACATTTTTGGTGTGCACAAGGCCTATTTTTCCCTGGTAGTAGCCAATATACCACTCCTTGGTCCACAGCTGCCCTTTCAACTTGATCTTCTCCTCACTGAGGAGGGCTATGACATCTCCTTTCTTGTACTCCAGCAAATAGTGGTTCTTGCTTTGCCGCACCACTGTCTTCAGCAGCTTGCCGTACTTCAAGCTCAACACCGGTCGGTCCTGAAAAACTGGATACTTGGCAGTGGCAGCCAGAGGTGAAAGGATGATCTTTCCGACCTCGTTCTTCTTAAGGAACCGCCTCTGCCCCATTGGTTTGATGGCACTTTTCGGAGGTGGCTGCGGTGTCTGGACGCAGAATTGGGTCAAAATGGCATCCTTGTCATCTTTGACCTGTATCCTTAGCGTGAAGTCTGAGAGCTCGTTGGGGTCATGGGACGCAATGGGGAAGATAAGGCGGCTGACCTTGCCCAACTTCATCTGGAAGCCACGCACAATTTTGGCTTGCTCACTAGCTTTCACCTCGTAGTTGGTCATATTGGAGAACATGCAGAGCTTGAGGTCCTGAGGCCGGGACAGAGCAAACTGATGCTTACCCCAGAGCTGGAGGGCAACAGGAGCAGGGCTATGGGACTGTCTCATGACCTCGTTCACCAGGAGAGTCTTGGGCGCACATTCGTGCCCAAACATGGCCACGACAGTTTTAAAGGAAGGATGAATGTGTTTTGGGCCATAGACGCCAACCGTGATCTTCTTGCTGATGTAATCCCAAACAGTGTAAGGGTAGAGGATATTCTGTCCCTGGGCTACGGCCGCGATGTACATGCAAGGCTCCAGGTTCTCCAGCTGCACCTGGATCGTGTCCCCATACAAATAGCTCAGCTGCATTGGCGTGTATGGCCCCTCTTTCATGTCACTCCGCAAGCACTGCAGTCCTACCAAACTCTTGCTCATGATGTCATTCTTGACCTCTGCTGAAACCTTCATCTCCAGAATGATGAAGGTTTTCACCTCCATGTTACTGAGTTTGATCTGCAGGACCGGGCTGATGGTGCTGCACTTGTCACTGTTTAGCTCCAGTGGCGGATCCAGCATCGCTTTCATGGAGATCTGCTGAGTCTCCCCAGGGCACACATGACCCTCTGGCACATGGATGCTGATGTTGGTGTCTGGAAGCTGAACAGCTCCACCAGAGCTATCCAGCTTGCAGACAATGTTCGTCTCCACTGGTTGTGTCTGACCCCAGCCAGGATTTTGACCAAGCAAATCCAAGTCATGGCAAGACCGAGCCAGCTTCCTGTGGTTCAGCCACGCCGTCCTAAAATCTTCCCGGCTCTGGAACTGTTCAGGGGTGGGCGACTTCAAACCACTGAAGAAACCCGATGATGCTGGAACATCCGACTTGGCTTGAAGAACAGACAGTTCAGACAAACTGTAGGAACGTTTACTTCTGAAGAAGGGATTGTCCCTTTTCACAGGCTGTTCCAGATCTAGCCTGTTTGTGGATGGAAACTCATCAAAAATGTTACCCAGGCTGCTATTAGTGGCCGAACTGGAAACAGCTGAAGTAGGAGCCCCTGTGTCAAAGAGCAGCAAGTCAACGGCGACGTTGGGGTTGGACTCTTTGTCCGAGCTGGGCACTGTTTGCAAATTTCCATTCAGAAATGGGTTTGTCTGGACTCCATTCAAGAATGGGTTGTTATTGTAGGTTTTCACAGAGTTTCTTTTCATGTCAGTCCATTCTCCAAGCAGGTCTAACTCCTTGACCCCCTCGTCGGGGCTCTCCAGTAGATTGTCTATCATCCCGCTGTCCGTTAAGGAAGAGTTGCGGTAGTTTACAGGCTGGACATAGGAGGAAGGGATGTAACCCATTTCTGTGGTGTTGTGAGCGTACCACCACTCACCTCCTGATGTATCTAAGACATAAAGGTGGTCCCCCTTGGAGAACTTCAAAGTGGTGAAATTAGTTGGACAGTAATCTTTGATTGCTATTACTTCCTTCGCATTTCCAAAGGACGTGGGATTGTCAACCAGCAAGGCACTAGGAGAAGGCACTGCAAAGCCAAGAAGAAAAACAGCACTGTCAGCAATCCACAAGACAGTCCCAAATTACTTGCAATCATTTATTTCAGGTAAGCAATCTGCACTACTTTAAGCAGTGAAAGAAGGTAGTTTTAAAGCCTCTCAAACCTACAGGTATTTTTTTCCCCCTAAAATTTTTAAACAAAACTTCTCCCTCCACTACATCTGGTACATTGACATTCCCCTTCCCCAAAGGGTTCATGATCTAAAGGGACGAGCATCGACGCAGCTGGGAAGAGCAGCAGGAGCCAAAACAGGAGAAGCAGCAACTTGTTATCCTCCCCATGCAGTCAAGTGCCTTAGCAACAAGCCTCCGCCTCAATGTAGGGCCTTGTGCAGCTGCTCCTGTGCGAGACGCCAGCGTCCCACAGCCTCGCTGAACTCCCTGATGAATGATGCACAAGGAGATGTGTTGGAGGGAGTTTTGAGGGAGTGGGAGTCACTTCTCATCAGCTCCCCTTTTCACCTGGCATGTTGGGATCTAAGCTCCTACAGGCACACGCCAGAATCACAGGCATCCCTTTAAATGTTCACATTTAAAATAACAGAAGTTAATTAGGGGGGGTGGTTCTAAGAGACTGCTACCTGGGAAGAGCCATTATCCTACCAATTTGCTCAGCAGTATCTCAAGGTCTTTGGCCACCAGCTCTTTAGCACTGCCATTGCACTCTCCATGCAAATAGTTATCTGTGCTGCTGCAGGTTAACACATAACGTTTGCAGGCTAAAAGTGCTCTTACTCTGCCGTAGACCCTCTCCTGCACGTGTGAAACATCTCACATTCCAGTGCAAGAAACAACTAAGGGTACCCACTAAGGGCACCCACTAAGAGCATGTCATATTCCTACTTTTTCATGTCACGCCAGCCAAAAAAATCAGCATCTCACCTCTCTTACATAGCACCTGTATTTCAAAGCTCCTCAACAAAAATTAACTCCATTTCTAAAGAAGGTCGTATTGCCCTCATACAGTGCTGTCATGGTCCTAGCAGCATCTCCAATCTCCCTTTCAGCAGCACCAGCTGAAAGCCAGTTTGCCAGGGGATTCTAATTACAAGCAAAACAGCTGGGTCAAGCCTACAGACACTCACGCTGTCACCATATTTGTTGCTTTTGTTCTTACTTTTAGGACCTATTTCTGTAAAAAAGCACTAGAAATAAGCTGCAGATGATGTTACATCAATGTTCAAATGTGTGTTACCTTGCTAGACAGACCCAAGAAAACAAGGAGAGCTGGATTTTCACCAATATGGAGCTGTAAGAGAACTGGGACAGCACCTGCTTCACTAGGCTCGAGAACTCCCTGGAGAGAAAAGGGGGATTTAAGAAACACAGGAAGCCCCTAAAATCCTGGAGACAAAGGGACGGCAGATCAAACTGCGCATCCCTGCGGTCACTAGCTGCAGGCTGGGAGCGCTTCTTGGACACAGAAAGTACAAGGCAAGGGAAGACACAGACAAGCAAAGTCTTTAAATATACTTTAGGGATCAAAATATTAAGAGGAGAAGAGTTTGCACACATCCTAAACAACTCATTGTTAATCCACTTCCTCCACCAGCAGGTAAGGAAAGTCATGAGGACATTTATTCAGCATAAAACGATATATAAACTCCATACTGGATATTGAAACTATTTTACCACCCGGATAGTAAGCTGCTGTTAACCCAGCGCTGCAGCCCGAGCTGTCTGCAGGACGGTGCATTTTCGGTCTCCCCATTCCTTTGGATCAGATGGGAAAGTGGCCGTCCCCATGTTCCCTCCAGCTCTGCACGCAGCCAGTGCAGCGGCAGGGTTAACGCAGATGTGCTGAAATGAGCAGACCCCTTGAAGAATACGAGTAACTCCTATTTTCACATTAAAACCAATCTAATTTACAGCAAGAGCATTTGATGTTCGAGTCTCTTCTTGCTACACCTGCAAAAGCAATCACTTTTGTGCATGTTTATTTTTAAAGACTCTCAGTGCATGCTAACTTCCACTCAGAATTATTTCTTGGGATCCATTTCTGCCGGGGGAACAGTAATTCCCCTCTCACCTGAACGTGGCTTTTATGCTGGGTAAGGTAAATACAGCTGAAAAAAAAGTGATAAAAGGAAGAAAAAGGATTATTCAAGCAACCTGCAAGCTCCCAGCTCCGGGGAAGGGGAAAACAAACCCTTCCAACCACCTTGTTGCGGTCACATCTCCTGGCTGCTGGATCTCTTGGTGTCAGGTCTGTGCCCATCCTTACACCCATGCATGCGCTTGTCAGCACTTCCTGCTCTTCCCCATCAGCTGCTGTCCGCTAATTATTAACCAAACCCCCTCCCAGACGCCGGGGGTGAGAGGATGCACCCGAATTGAGGAGGGGGTATCGTCCCCACCCATCCTGTGGGGGCCCCCACCCATCCCTCCGCACCTTTGACGTCGCAGAGGCTGGTCTCAGCGAAGCCCTCGCTGAGGTCGATGAGCGTCCCCTCTGACTTGCACCGTGGCAGGCCGCCCAAGTTGGCCGCCCGGATCCTCTGCGCCGCCATCTCCTGCCTGCTGACCCCCGTGGTCCCGGGGAGCGCTAGGCGGCCATGGCCTCTCCGTGAGTGAAGCTGGGTACGGGGACCCTGGTGTCACCTTGGGGAACCAGCCTGGGGGAGAGAAATGAACCCCAGCACATTAGCAAAGGCTCCACGTTCCACCGTGCCACCCACGCCCCAGCGATGCTCACCAGTCACACACTGACCCTGCAGTGCCAATACAGGAGAACATCCTCATGTTCTCCTTAAAGCATCAGGTAAGATAACCCAGGTGTTCCTAATAAGCACAGCACTGCCTATAAATCACCAAGGGCTTTGGGTAGCGAGGACAGCCTGGTCTTGCACGAAGCTACTGCTGGCCACCACGCTGTACAAAGCATCCCTCTTGCTTTTAAGAGTTATTTGGAAATATGTTGCTCCCAGGCTCATAAATTGGTCCTTCTCCCCATTTCGTAAGAGCTTTCAGGGCATTTGCACGCTGCTTTAATACATATTTATAAAACCATCAAGCGCTCAGATGCTGTGGGAGCCCAGTGCAGTGGTTAGCAAGCGTGGAGCACCCACAGGACTGGGCTTTTTGCACATTCAACCAGGTCATCACAGTCTCCCACAGCGGCACCAGGATCTCCCGGGATGCAGACTGGCTCTTCCCGCTCGCTCCCTGCATCCCTCCCCTCGCCCGGCCGACCAGGCAGGGACCAGGCAGAGGAATGTCCCTTCTTGCATCGACTGCCCTGCTTCAATTGAGGAAAAATAGAAGGTTTTTTTTCTCCTTTTTTTTCCAGAAACGCTTGCAAAAACACTTCCAAAAACCCTGTGGAAGAGCAGCTGCATCAGCACGCCAGAGCTGAGAGGAAAATTAACCCATTTCCCACTGCCTGCAGAACATGCAGGCACTTTGACTGCCAACATCGTGGCTGATTCAAGCGTTGGTAAGACATCCTCTGGTGTCACCCGTGACCTCTGGAGCTTGGAGGGTAGACAGAAAGGCCAGGAGCATGTGCGTGAGCAGGCAAGCCTGGTGCTTCTCTGCTGGCTGAAGGCAAGGCTGGAGCACACGGCCTGAGCCATGCTTCGCTCTTCCAGGTTTGCACCAGGGAGCAGGTATGTGGCCTGACATACCTGGCATCATCCCAGTAAATCCTGCCATCCAGCATCCATACAGACATCCCTACACCCTGCTCTCTACAAACCTGCCACAAAACTCCAGCCTGGCTGCAAAGCGCCAACAGCTCTTAAAAACAAAGCCCTGTGCAATGAAAAGTTATATCCAAATCCCCTGCTTGAGTTCAGCAACCTAAAGGGTTTTTCATCCACTCCTAGCACTGTTTTTCCCTTCTCCCTGTTCTTCCTTTCTCCCCCTCGCATGCAATTTTTCGTTCTCCCTCTGCTTGAAAATCAGATCAAGCAGAAAATAACCCCCAAACCCAAATGCCTTAGGTGGAAATACAGAGCTGATGGAAGCATGAAGACAAGTGCCAATTGCTTTGGCTGCAGCTGGCTGTTATTAAACCAGCGTGTGTGTCTCTGCCAGCAGAGCAAGGAGGAGCAGCAAGCCCTGAAGGATTCACTGCCCTTTTCTGGAATGCAATAAGAGGAAATTTGCAGGGGGGAGCCCAAGCAGGAGATACTCCAGCCTGCTTGAAATGCTTCCCAAGCCATTCTCCGGGCCGGTATGCCGGGAATGCGGTTAGCTGGAAGGGATGCACCAGGCTCCAGCCAGAAAAGGGAAGGGAGAACTTGTGTGCAAACACTTTTGCCTTTGAGAAGAGCATTGTTTCCGGTCCTGCTGGGAGCACTCCAAGGGGAGAGGGCTTGGCAGGCATTAAACACAAGAAACCAGGCTTTGAGTCAAGATTGCACTTATCAGAGCCAGGCCAGGTAAGACAAGGGGACTTGGAGTTGCCATCAGTGGCAAGAAAAAGCAATAAGCAGTCAGTGGGAAGGAGGGAACAGAGGAAAGATGCTCTTGTTAGCTAGCACGGTTCACCATCCATCCAGCTCACCCCTTTGCAGAGCACTACCACAGCGGGCAGAATGTTGTTTCTCATTAATGCGAGGCACTGGGATTGCACGTTTTCCAGCTGGCATGCAAGACCCTAAACACTTACTGCTTCCCCCTAAATAGACCTGCAGACACTAGGCAGGCTCTTGTAGGTTTTTTTTTTTTTCTCCTTAGTTGGAGGGTTCAAGCCCTCCATGGCGACACAGGCACGAAATCCAGCATGAGGTACGCAGCATCATTGCAGAAATAGCTCAAGTGGCAAAGTTTTCACCAATTTTAGTGATGCTTGCACACAATCCTGTTAAAAAACAAACCCCACTTTGACAGCCCAAAGGTCACCCCTGCTTGGTGAGCATTGCACGAAGCAAGAAACAGACTAGGAACAGGTAGGTGATTTTACTGTGAATCAAAGCGTAAACCATGAATATATTTTTGAACACCTGCCTGGTAGTCCAGTGCCAAATAATTTTTTATATCTATCATTACAGCTGTGCACTACTACACTACAACTCTCACCGATGTATCCACACACCTCACAGTGCCTGGCATTTGCAGGGACGCTTTCCCTTCCTGTATTTATGTAACTATATGGGAAGCTTTATGCTAAAGGTCTGGACAGATGTGGTTGTGTGGAGAAACAGCTGGAAAAATCCCCCCCTACATGCACCCTGCGGTCTCAAAAGGCAGCAAGAACGTATATCAAAATGAGTGATTACGAAAAGGTATTTCCTCTCCCAAAAGCAGCATCTTGGCTGCTTCTCGGTCCATTCTGCATGTAGCAACGCTCTCACACACACACGAAAGGATGGGGGTGCATGCCCCCCACAGCTGGACTTGGGGTGGGAGCTGTGTTTTGGAGCTGATTGTCCCAGGGGACAGACCTTAGATGTTTCTGAATGCAGAGGAAGGTCAGATAACCAGCAAGCCTTCAAACTCAGGCTACGTGAGAATAAAAGGGGACAGTTGGGAACAGGGTGGGGGGAAACAAGGGTGGACAGGACAAGATTTGTTTAGAAATCACTTCTGTAGCCACAGCTGAGACAATGGTCTGCTAACTCCTCTGAAAGCACTTTAAACATAGACTAGGATTAAATATAGACTAGGAAAAACACAGCCCCATCTGTTTACCGAAAGCCATAAACGGCATCCGAAATGGGGGGTGGGAGGGGAAGACACAGGACGGGTAAGCAACCAAAGCTCACCCTGTACAAGCAAGGAAGGTGACAGCATCTTGCCATGCAACCAGCTCAAAGGTAGCCGCACCCCCTTTTCACACCATTTTTTTTTCCTCCCATGAGGGAAAGGCAATGCTGCAGGGTAAAATCCAATTGTGCAAGCCAGTGCAAGCCAGGAGGACCTGCTCTGTGCTTCCCCCACCCCCAGTAATCCAACAGGCAGCACGCAGGCAGCAGCTGCCCAGGTCAGAGCACCACACTGGTTGCACCTCACAGTACCAGTCACATCACTGCTCTTTCCAAAATCCTAAATGGGCTTTTGCTGAGGGTTGGGCAAAGCTTTAGGTAAGCCCCAATGAGCATGGTCCCACAGCTGCTGGCTGGCACACCATGAATCCTCACCAGATTTCTGGGGCATGGAAGGGCATCATGTGGGGTGACACAGCAGCTGTGTCACCACCCCGCCCCATCTGCCGAGCTTCTGCTCTCCAGGGGACATCACAGGATGCCTGTCCTGTGAGTCACCCGTCAGGGAAACAGCAGAGCTGTCTTCAACAGGGACTTGCAGAGCATGGATTTAACTTTGCATTAGCTGGGGCTATCAATAAGTTTTTTTGGGAGGAACAGATGGGACATGCAGACAGACCTAGCCATGCTCCTCTTTGCAGAGAGGCTGGCTACTTCTCAAGGCACGGAAGTGCTGTCGTGAGCCAGCTGGGGAGCAGCAAGCAGGATATCCAGGGTCTTGAATAAGTGCCCTACCTACTCCTGGATCTCCTCTCCACCAGGCATGGTGCAGCAGCACGTTTGAGGAGAGTCTAGGGCTGATGACAGTGTAGCACCTATTAAAAAAACCTACTGAAACTATTAAACTCCCCCCGAAAGGTCTTTTTCCTGCAGTGTTTGAATGAACGGCGTTCAGCTGAGTTCTAACAGCAGCATTTCCTGGCATGCAGTGGCACAGAAAAGGTTAAAAATAACTTCTGCAAATGCTCTGGGACTGCTTAGCCCGGAAACTCAACCGCAGGCTTTCTCCTCCCAGCCCCACAGACCCAGGGGAGCCCCCCGAGACGCCCAGCACAGGCTCTGTGGTGGTACGGTGGGGCTGGCAGCAGAGCCCCGTCCTCCCCAATGTTCCCAGCTCCCCGTCCTCCCCAATGTTCCCAGCTCCATCCATCATGCCAAGCTGGTCCTGATGGTATTATGGTATGGACTCACCTCTGCCAGGACACTGAGCTATAAATCAAAGACATAGCACGGGCATCCAGCCATGCTGAACGGGGTTAGTGGAGAAAAGCAATCCCAGGAAAAATACTCACTGGCAGCATAAGCCCCGTGTCCATAAGCAACGAAATGCAATGAAAACATGGGAATACCTAAAAGTGCAAACCCCGAGGACGGGAAGCAGGGGGAGGTCTCCAACAAGCACAGACTGTAACCCAGGTAGGTGGGAGAGGACCCCTCCAAAAGCCTCAATGATGGAAAACCCCTGACTGCCAAGAATTTGGGATGATAAGACCCAGGAGGGCTGGCGGGGCCAGGCGGTACCAAGCACCATCGGGGCTGGAGATGGAGCCAGGTCCTTCCATGCACAGCCGAAGGAAGGGTAGTACACGGTACCTGCCGCCAGCAAAGGAAGGCGGGGAGGATCAATGCACATCCCTGCCCGTCCCGGATCTCAGCCAAGCCAGGGAGCTACAGAGTCCATCCCACCACGGCATACACACATCCATGGGAAGCATCAGGAACAGGAGCCACCATGACATAAGACAGGTCAACCTTGCAGTAACTACCATAACTGCATGCCTGTTCTCCCCGGGTAACGC